CCCCAAAACCCCAAAACCCCAAAACCCCAAAACCCCAAAACCCCGCTCTGATTTTACAGTATTGAATTTATATTGTTGAACCTATCCAGTAGTGGGCTCCATTAACATTGTGGACTTCAGTCTCAAAAGTAAACTCAGGGTTGTCCAGGGGGTCAAACTCCATGGCCCATTCATACCACACTTTACCACTCTTAGTCAATCTCCAGATCTTCACGGTGATAGTTGAGTCTTTCTTGGCAATAATAGGTGTGTTTATGGGGAAATATATTGGATACCAAGATCTCATAGTTGGAGTATGAGTGTTTGGATTAGTACTCATCCAGATATCTCCATAAAGCTGACACTCAAAAAATCCAGCAAAGCCATGTATCATTGCATTTGATCTTCAAATGAAATCTAGCTTTTTATATTGGTTCTTGATTAATCTTGGAGTTGGATGGGTAAAATCGAAGCAATTTTGAACTGTCTCTCAAGGATAGTACTTGTTATGAAGATTTACCACATAACCAACTGAGAAAGGATCAATTACTTGGTTCATATAAGGATCAGTATATCCGCTATCAGGGTTACTTTTAGCTTCATTCCAAAGTAACTGTGTTGAAATTGGAGCAATATTAGATCTATAATAACAAGGGATAGAAATCCCTGTCTTTTTCATATGCTTTTGAATTGGGAAAAGGCATTCAGGACTGAGTTCATTATCTCCAAATGAACCAAGAAGCTCACTGACGACAATATCAGCCTTCTTCTCCAGCTCAATCTCTCTCATATCTCCATGTAGAAGGTCAACCTTGTCTTCAATTCCGTTCTTCTCTATCAATTTCTTGATCTCAATAATTGCATATCTGTTCTTATCAACAGCTGTTACATGAATGGGCACTCCTCAGCGTTCGGAAGCCTGGAGGGCCCTAATGATCAATGGTCCTCTGCCTGCTCCAAAGACCATCACCTCTACAGGCTCAACTCCAGTCATAGAATCATCAGCATCATGTTTGGTCTTATTGCTGCTTTCAAGGAGAATTTGTTCATAAAAATTCACTTGATCAATGGTAGGATATTCTCCAGTGTTTAGTGCCTGGTTAAAACAGCCATTTAATCTGAAGTGGACGAGAGCTGCCTGGATTGCTTTTTCATACAGTTTGTACTTAATCCTGTCATTTTCGAAAATTTCATAAGTTCCCGAACTCAGGTTATCCATCAACGGTTGTAAAGGAGTCTGTAAGAAATTCCAATAATTTGAATCCTTTTTCTCTTCTTCGTCTCTAAATGCTATATGGGACTTGAAGAGGTAGTAGAGGTAGGAGTTGAATGGCCTATCGTAGCAAAATCAAGCGCTAAGGAGGGTCTCTCCTCCTCCTACTCAGTCACATCTGAAGTTGACAGCATACTGGGCCATTTCTCTACATGAGAATCGATTCCCTTTGAGCACAATAGCAATCTTAAACCTCATCAGTGTTTTTATAATTAGCTGGTGACTTTTTGAAAGGACTGGCTGATTCTTATTATTCTTCATGAACAAGCTATTAGAAATCGAGATAAACTTGAGGTTCTCACTAAACCATCTATCTGCTGACTCTAGTGTCCCTAAATCTCTAGTGATATCTATAAAACTTGAGGAGTCTTCAAATACCAAGAGCAAGGTTGATTAGAGGGGAATATTTTAATATCTTTTTCAGTTTTTGAAAGAAAGCCCATGATAAGTTGATATCCTCTTCCTCATTGTTGGAATTAGCTGCCAATCGCTTGACATAGTATGGGACTCTGATTACTATATTTATGTTAGGTATCCGAGCAAGAGCTTATTCTAATTAGTAAAAATTTGATGAATTCTGCACACAGATATTTGAAATTTAAGAGTTAAATTTACACAACTTTATGCTTACCACAGGCTCCAATATCTTGGAGAATTTTGTAGCCGTTCAAGATCCTGCAAAAATTATGCGGGAAAATAACTTCACCCTCAATACTAGCAGGCTCAGTTTTATTTAGTGATAGAGCGTTGTTGTTTATCTTCCTCAGGGATATCATACTTTTCTATTTGATGTATAGGAAGATCAAAAACAATAGTGCCAATCTTAAGATATTCAGCAAATTCAATTTCCTCCATTAAGCAATACTCAGCTCGCTCTCTGATATGATCTATGGGAGATTCAAGGTCAATAGAGGGTTTGATGACTGCGAATTTATTGACTCTCTTCATGTGATTTTCTCTATTATTCTCGGATCCATGGCAGGCATAAGTCCTGGATAATCTCAGAGGATTTTTGGATACACTTTTCTCTGTCCTATACAAACCCTTCTTGACCAATGGTAACATCATGAAGGAGTACTGCTTATCCACATGATCAGTAATAGCCATGAGGTCTGGCACATACTCGACTTCCCTGCCTACATCAAGAGAGTATGGGATATGCTTGTACTGAAAACTCATGTTTCTTTCTAATTATTATATAATATGGGGTTTTGGGGTTTTGGGGTTTTGGGGTTTTGGGG